ATAATTCTATTAACAACTAATACATATTTATATAGACAATCTTCAGATTATTAATCAAAGTACTCATGCTACCGTGCAACGCACGGTTCCCATACTAGTTTTTATAAAAGTACACACCAAATCTCTTTCATTTTCCCAAAACTATTTAATCATCTTATTTGGGGTTGTTGTTGATGGTTGGTCCGTCTAATGTCTAAATGAAAACAAATTGAAGAAGTGGTTATCTTCCCTGTTTCCCCTAATTTCAGCTTTGTCGATAAAAAAGCAGTAAAGCACAGCCCGACTCTGCGATTTTCTCTTCACTTTTGTTTCCAATTCGAGTATATTGACTATTGAAATCCCTAAAGGCATCAAAGATGATTGCTTATGATGATACTCAACAGAAACATCAATGACTCCAGTCAAATCGCTTCTGTATAATACGGACTTTGTCGATCTGCACAATACATATCCTAGAAACCAATCTGCTTCTCGCATTTCAGAATCTGAGAAACCAATCGGTTGATCAAGTTCGAAAATCTGAGAAAGTCTGCTACCTAATTCGAAAATTTAAGAGTTTGTTTAGGATTTTCCCAATTCTCTAGTCTGAAGTCTCCTTGATTCGAATTTTTGGGAGTGAGGCCTCCAAGAGGAGGTAAATTACAGTTCTTTATGTTACCTTAATTAATCTTTATTTCTGTAATTTTCTGAAAATTATTGTTGAGGTTTTAATGGGTTATAGACTATTAACTTGAAAATTCACATGAAAAGCTGCTTCTAAGTTCTAATTTTCTGTATTCAAGTACTGTTTTTGTTTTCAGAATAATATGGTGGACATAAAACATTAAAAATGATAAAATATGTATCTATTTTATTTTATTTTGCAGTGAAAACAAAAGCTTTGAGAGTTGGGACAATATATTACTCAAACAGTCTTGTCTCACGTAAACTCAAACTTATGTTAATATATTACTCTATTTGTACATTGGATATATATTACTGTATTTGTTGATTCATAAACATTTGGATATTTATTAACAAAATATTGGCAATGTCTAATAAGCTCTATTACATTTAATAAGAGCTTTAAGTAAGTCCAAGATATATAGTCTAGAACTCCAACCGAGTAGGGTGTTTACGGTCCGGTTTATGCAATTTAAGCCATAAACCCACAAACCAAATTGAAATGACGGTTTATGAAAATTTTCCAACGGTTTGATCTGACCGGTTTAAACTTTTACGCCTATTATGAGCTTTAAACTGAAAAACGTTGATTTCCAAAATGAAATTTCTACTGTATAAAGGTATTAAAATTTAAAAATATATTATACTGAATTATAGAAGAAACAATCACCTCTACAGTTAAACAAGTGTATCAAAGATGGAATTTTGGATAAACATTGAACAAGTCGAAAAACAATTTGGAATTTTGGGTTTTGATTTTTGATGGATTTCAGAACTTCGTGGATCTAAGGAACGTGAACAATTGAGAAGTGAAATCTAAAAACTTAATGTCTTTTACATGAACTTCTTTTTTAAAGGGGTGATAAAAGTTAAGCATGTAAACTGATATAATTAATACATGTGTATTTTGAATGTCGGTTTGGTCCAAACCGCTCAAAAACACGTTCAGAGTGCATACCGGACTGTACCGAGCAGTTTAAATATTTTCCAAAACACATTCAAAGTGCATATCCAACCAGTTTGAACGGTTCAACGGATTTTTTTGACACCCCTATAGCCGAAAAGCAGGCTGAGAAAGTCGTCAAGTCATTGAGGCTACAAGACCAGCTAATCTTCCTGAATCTATATGTCCGTACCTGGGCCGTTTACCCAGTAAGTGTTTACCGATAAAAGCCAATACTTTCATTTAACTTAATGAGATTTTAGTCAATTAAAACATCATCGTATGGAACATTTTGATCCGTTACGCGCTTACCAGATAAGACTCGGTCTCTGCCATCAGTCTTATCAAATAAGACTTTTAATCATTGTCATGTTCATTCGATAAGATAAAATGACCTGGTGAAAAGTTACCAATTAAGCTTTTGGTAAATGAACACTCACTATACTATGCTTTTGGTACCTCAGGTATCTTAAACAATATCAAGCTTCAATCCAATTGGATAAAAATTCTAAATTATCATTCTACCAACCATCTAATATTTTCATAACTCCAAGATATGTCTTAATGGACATTTACAACCAAATAACAACAGGTTCTTCCATCATTAGAAACAGAGTTTAAACGTACATGAGAACCAAAAAAAGGTTGCCTTTATCCCCCAGCATCTTTTGAAGCAAGAAATTGTACGGTTGCGGTCGAAAAAATACAATTGTTTTAGCTAAAATAACCGAAAATTCGAGAACCCACATTGCTACGAAACAAGTATCACGGTTCTAGCCTTCGTGGGTCACGAGGGAAAAGCGACGTTTTGCGAATGTTGTCAAGACCACAGAAAAGCATAACAACACGTTCCAATCCGACTCCAAACCCACCATGTGGTGGCGCACCATACCTTCCACAAAAAAAAAGGGTATCATAAGTTCATAACCAGTGTATGGTCCTCAAAAATGGGGCATTCAAAGCCATTCAATATGCATTTTCGCATTGCAATCAATTGGATCGTGTTCAATATATCATGTTTTTCTTGAACTCTTAAGTAGATTTATTCTTGTTTGAATCCTAAAGGAACTTGTTTAACCATAGAAGTAGAAGGGTCATTTTCAGGATTTCTTGTTTTAACGGAAAATACAAGTAAACATATTCATGTACGAAACCAAACAGGACTTGTTTCGACCACCAAAGATGTTGCTAATAATGAATAGAATCCAGGTGCGTTTGGTAGACAGACGGGACTTGACAGGATTGGACTAAACTGACGATAGTGAGATATAGGCGGGTGAACGAATGGTGAAAGGTTTTAGGGTCTTAATTTTTCATGGGTAGTTTAGTAATTTACCAGTTTTGTTTAATCTTCCTTATTTTTGTTGCACCTATATTTTAGTAATTTTTCATGAGTAGTTTGGTAATTTGCAAGCAGATGTAGTGATTGAGGTTCGAAAGTAACAACAAAGAAAATGTACCTGAAGGAATCAATATATGACGCTATTGTTTTGACATCAATCCCGAGCGCTGTTGCACGTGACTCCAGAAGTTCAGGTACGTGCACACGCTGCGCTCCGGAAATTATCTCCTCTCCTGAACAGAATGTGACATATAATTTCAGATATAAATATACATGTTCACTCTTACAACCTCGACAGTGTTGTACATAACACAACAGGGCCGTTCCAATCTTTTTGGAGGCCCTGCTACACCTCTACCAAGACATAGATCAAGTGGACGGATAATAAATAATACAAATACAAAAAAAAAATCATACCATGTATTATATTAAGGGCCTGTTTGTTAGCAGCTTAATGAGCTTAATGAAATTCGCAACTTATTCGGTCAGCTATAAATGACTATTTGGTAATGGATTAATGATATAGAAAGTAGCTTCTTCAGTAAGTAAATGGGAGGAAGGTTTGCCGGGTAAGAGTCATCACCCTCACCAACTGGGTAAGAAAAATGACTTATAATGACATGAAATTCACTCAAGTAGAATCATTTTTCTAAAGCTGGAATCAGGAATCGCCAAATAGGGTAAAAAAGTAACAGCCTAAAATATTATAATTTGGCTAAAACATGTATAATTTGGCTAAAGGTTAAAATATATATAACTGGGTAAAAGCTAAAACTTATATAATTGGGCCACATTGGAACACCATCAGGCACCAAGAATACAAAACCATGTGCCAAAGTTTTACATAAATTTCTAAAAGCTATTCGCAAGGTGGCTCACCTCTAATGAAAACATCAAACGAGTTGCTATAAGCCTCGTTGTCTGGACATGGCATTGTATAAAAAGGTCGAACTGCCAAAGGGTAGCGGTGTAGTATATAGAATTCAGTTCCATACCTACAATACATATATATAACAAAACACCATCATATGAGTAAGAGAATGTCTTCAAATATTAAATAGGGGATAGAATAAAAGAAAAACTAATACATACTTCTCCAATACAAGTTTTCCCAATGTTCTTTCCGATTCCGTGTTAAGGTCACCAAGTGGATCTACTTCAACACCAGCTTCCTATTGGATCATGTTCCGAAATGCAAGAACCATTTTAATTCGCAGATGTAAATATTTTTTTGGGTAAATATCACTTGGCAGATTAGTTGAGGGTGTTAGGGCCGTTTACCAAACTCTTATTCGGTAAGCGCTTACAAACAATAGTCACCACTTTCATTTACCTTACGGGGCAACATTCCCAATCATCAAAATGGATTAATGGTAAGCGTTTATAACCTGGAAAGTGTTTGCCGGGTAAGAGTCATCACCCTCACCTACTGGGTAAGACTCTTGATCCTTGTCTTCCCTCTTACCGGGTAAGATACTCAGCCCTTGTTATGTTCACCCGATAAAGTAATTGAACCGGTAAGCGCGCTTACCAAGATTAGTGTTTAGTAAACAGCCCCTTAGTGTTATATTCTTACTAACCTTTAGCATTTGAATACCTTCTTCAAACGTAAGCCGCAAGGTATTCCGCAAGTACTGCACATTTAATGACATCAACACTGAATCATTAAGATCTGTGATGAAAAAGATTACTCCAAATCTGTTATTACTCAAACGGAAGAAGAAGAGTTTAAGTTACTTTCAAAGGCTTGAAGGGATACTGCTTCCCAATAGCCTCTAACTCTTTCTGGCATCTTTGATTCAAATTGTCAAACATTTCAACAAAAAGGCGGTCCACGACATCCATCACCTATTCGAATGAATCCACTCATCAGAATTTTCAAAATCTTGAGTCTGCATATACAGTACAGTGCCTTCTCAATCGAAGTTGTGCATACCTCAGAATAATGCTCCTTAATCTCCATTTCCACATCAAGACCTGTGAATTCACACAAATGCCTGTGGGTATAGGAGTCTTCAGCTCTAAAGACAGGACCCACCACAAAAACGCGTCCAAAATCACCACAAATTGCCATCTGCTTGTGAAGCTGAGGCGACTGTGCAAGGCATGCTGGTTGTTTTTTGTATTCCAGCTTAAAAACAGCAGCACCACCTTCACTAGTGCCTGCAGTTAACTTTGGAGTCTGGATCTCGACAAAATCTTCATTCAGCAGAAACTGCCTAAATAACTGCAGAAAATCATATCAAGTTTTGTTTAGTTCAGACCACCATAGTGCTTACATTATTTTGAGTAAGCTATAAACAGCCTAAGGGACCGTTTGTTAGCAGCTTAATGAGCTTAATGGGACTCACAGCTACTCGGTCAGCTATACATGACTGTTTGATGGTGGCTTAATGATATAGAAAATGGCTTATTCAGTAAGCTTTTAGGAAGGAGCTTTAAGCAAAAAGACAAGTTTTTCCAAACCTACCCCTCGCAATTAAAAAACACTAAAATCCTCCCAAACAAAACCCTTCCCAATCTATACAAACAGATTAATACACACATACAGCTTTATTCATGCAGGAGTTAATGGAAAATAAACCACACAGCCCTAAATGTTGTTACTAGTTAGTACAGTAACATTTCAGCCAACTTCAAATTGGAGTACACCATGGAGTAAACAATGTCTATTACCTTAGGGGAGGGGATCTACTAGGGGTGCATTTGGTACGCACGCGGTACTCGAAGACAGGACTGGACGGGCAACGGAGAGATTGGCGGGTGAAAGAATTGTGCAAGGTTTTAGGGTTTTAGTTTGACATGTGTAGATGACTAATTTACTGATCTTTTCTCATCTCCCCAATTTTTATTCCACCTATTCTAGTGGGACAAAAAAATACATCTTATCCCACTTGATCCTGTCCTTTCCCGCTCTTAATGTTGCACAAAATGTGGTCACATGAGATGGATCCTGTCCCGTCCTGTATGACGTACCAAATGCACCGCTAAAACGCATAAGAAAGTAAAACTTAAAACATGACACACACACATGTATAAGTAATCAGGATATCGTACATTTGAAACTTGGCACTCAAGACGATAAATCCCTTGATTTGCAGGCGTACGCAAGTCCAAAATCCTGTAGTTCAAACGGGTATCCTGATTAACACGAACAAGTTGTTCTCCGGCCTGCATAATTGTAATAACCATTTTAAAATACAATGAAAGAAGAAGACGATCAGTGGCAGTTGCTTCAGTACTAAGCAATGCATCAATTTGATCTCAAACAAATAGAGTTGCCAACAGGTATTAATACAAAATCTACCAAATGTTCAAATTTTTGCAGATTTAGTTTGAGTTCCTCATAATATACCTCCAAAGCCTTCTCGATTTCAACCTCACTTCTAGCAGCATCCTCGACATTTATGGGAAGCACAGGGGCTGCCCTGTTTACGCAATGGATCTTCCTGACCTGGACTTCAACCTACAAATGTTGAATTCAATGTTTCCAACCAATCAGATTAATATCGCAGATTTTGCAATCTAGTTTGCAAAAAATTAAGTACATCAAAAAACCCTGATTCAAAACACCGATCATCATCCTGAGTATCTATTAATCACTGAAAACTATCTGATCTTATCAATTACTAAACTGAAAAACGTAATTCACCTGCTGAGAGGCACCTTTAATGGCTTCAGGTGGAACAGTTACGATTCCTTCGATATCAACAAATGATTCTTTGCTAATAGCCGTCGCATATTTGACCATTTGGGCGCTAACAAGATCGGGAGCCACCGTCAACACACACTGAACAGTATACCCCTTTTCTCGCACCGTCAAAAATGCCATTTTCTTGCCTACAGCACGAATCGCCTGAGCCCGCCCTCGAATTAAAACCGCATGGTCTTTAAGTTCATCTGTCAGAGAACTGACCTTGGTCCACACACGACCGGAAACCACCTTCGATTGAAGATCTTTGATAGGCACATCCCCATAGTTGGCAGCAAGAGGATCAGGGCCGTCGATAGAGACACCAGCGACGCCGGAGGCGGCGGCGGAAGCCGCCGCTGCTTCCTGGCGACGACGGAGTTTTTCAGCCTTGGCAGCTTCCTTCTTCGCCGCCTTTTTGCTGGTCTCTTGCTGTTGCTGCTGCTCTGGTTCCATTGAAAGAGTTTTAGGGTTTCTGATTTTCTGGATTGGTGAAGGTGTTTGGTAAATTTGATTTTGATTTTATATTTCAGAGTAAACTTCAATTTTGGTCCCTTATGTTTAGTGAAATTTATGAAAGTGGGGACTTTTGTTCTCCGGTTTTGCTTTGAAAGTGGGATCCGATCACTAACGATTAAAAATCTCGGTTAATACCGGGTCAAATCATTCAATTATATTTTTCCCTCGTTTTGAACTCTTTTTGTCTTTTTTTTCTCGATTTTAAAATTATTGCATTTAAAACAAATGTCCGATGACAAGTTGATCGGTTAATTACAATAAGAAATGGGAGTTAGCACACGGTTTTGTTAGTATCATTCAATCGAATCCAGTTTAATTGTTTTCTAAGAACCATGATATTATAGGAGACCAATTATGTAATTAATATATATATATATATATATATGGTATATTTCTTTTACAACCTTGTGCATTTGTACAACCTTGTGCATTTGTACAACCTTTGCAACCCAATTAATTGAGATATTTATAGAAATGATTGGAGTTCATTTATTATGATTTGAATATTTATGGAATATGAATAGAGTTTATTAATTATGATTAATATTTTATATTAGGAAACAATTAATTGATTAAAAATTGAATGGTTGAGATGAAGGTTGTATAGGGTGTAGGAATGGCAAAGGGTGTAGAATAACATCCCTCTATATATATATAGGTCTAATCAAATGAGAATTTAATTAGTTTGTGGTAAATGTGAGGTCCAATATGAACCAATCATTTTATTAAATTAATTGTATTACCTTAATTAAGAAAAATGGTGTATTAGTAATTTTATTAATATTTTTTTAAAGGTTATCAATCAAAGAGATTGATATTGTTTCCTTATTAATCAAACAAATTACGGAAGTTTCTTTCTATGAAGTTATAATTAATAAAATAAATATATAATTTCTTACTGTTAAAAGTTATTGAGTATCGCACTAGTAACATAGTGGTATCACAATTGTATTCATCAACCATATATGGTATCATAGTGTATTTTTGTCGTTATACGAAGTGTATCACAATATATTTTTGTTGTTTTATGAATTGTAACACAATATATCAAGTAATATTTTCTTTACCAAGTGTATCACACTGTTTTTTTTCCGTTATTTTATTAAGCGTATCACAGTGTGCATCATGTGTCGATATGGTGTTCGTTGAATAAAGTTGAGAGGAGAGAGGAGAAAACTAGAATAACTTAAATGCCCTTAATTAATTTTTTTAGTTAAAATTACCAAAATTATTAATTTCTTAATTTAACCTTTCATTTGTGGTTGAGATTGGATCTCACAGTTACCACAAACTAATCAGTTTTTCCTTGATGGACCCTTATATATATATATATATATATATATATATATATATATATATATTAGAGTACTTACAACAGTAATAGATTTAACAATCTTGACACCTGCAGCTACAAATGAAGAATAGACATCCTTGTGAACAAAAAATCTCTTAGCCCAGCGTAATTTTGTCCACTTGATTGCAAACCAACCCTAACAGCAACTTGTGCAACCTATATTCAGTTATAAGAAACTATTAAACAAATAATAACACTAAAAATAGACATTAAAAGTCAAAACGACATGTTCAAAAGCACGAGTAAGAGCACAATCAAAGTTCATTATACAAACTGACCTCAAGTTGGACTTATTCATACATGAGGCATGTCTAAATCTTCATGCACAAGAAATAGATAAGAACTAACCTTGATAAGAACCCTAATCTTTATTGAAGTTTAGGGTTTTGATTCTTATATTCGCTTAACACAAAAACAATAGAAGATGAAGGAGGGACCTGCAAAGCAATAAACTAACGTGTAAAGAAACCTAATTCCAAAAAAGAATCATGTGCAGGGATCAACAAATGAACAGATCTGCTATCCATTTGGACTAAGCATGTTTGTTGAACTTGTAGATTTCTGAATAACTTCACCCCTTATATTTATATAATTTGTATCCAATGTATGCCGTCTAAGATTTCAAAAACTCCACGGATGAATTACTTCACTGAAAAAGATCCCTATAAGGTTACTGGTTACACACGAACTAAATAAATGGTTCCATGAGTTATAACACATAAAACTCTGTTATATTCAAAATTTGATGATATAAGCTAATAAGAGTATAGAAAAGTTTGAGAAGTATAATACATGCAACAGTGATATCATACCAGGGACGCCTGTTTTAGGTGAAGATGGAGACAGGGTATGGCAGAAAATGACACGACCCACCATGGATATACTTGAAACAATCCCAGCCACATAAAACAACTTAACTAAACCAAGAACCCAAGGCATCAATAGAAACCCTGCGAAGAATGTTATTGATACATACAACATCAAAGCCAAAGATATCCCCTATAACAAAGACGTGAAACCCGCTGGTGATATCTGCGATAGTGGAGCCAGTCGTGGCTGCCTTCGCGATGTAGACACCTCACCAGAGAATTAAATCGGCGCAGGAGGATGCCGGAGTAAGTTGATAATCATAGCAGGCAACTCGTACAAAACCATAGATTGTTGGTCTTGATTCGGCAAGGACGCTAGGGGGAGGAGGGAAACGATGGTTTCAAGAATGTGAATCGCCTCTTTGAGAGGGAAGCATTGATGGAATCGACGTCTTTGGGAGAAAGAATGAGCCAGATCGTTTCCTTGGGAGAAGGAATCGACATTTTGGGAGCCGAAATCAATTTATTGAGAGCATACATTGGCCTATGGAGCATAGATCATGCGTAAATTTGTAATACTCTTTACATTAGGATTTGTTTTTAAAACCTTAAGACTTTGTGCATTAAAAGGTAGTACCTTATGCATTTAAGATTGTTTTTTAGACTTTTATAAAATATGGTTTATAAGATAGTATAGACTAGAAGGGTACTCGCGTAATGTTGCGAAATACATATTTAATTCATTTTTTTCTTTTATTTTTTTTTGTCTCTGTTGATATATACAATTTATGTGATTTTGGTAAAAATAATTTTTTTACTTTTGAATAAAAATAAATTTGAAAAAATATATCGATTTTAATATCAAATTAACTAATTAAAAGTTTTTATTTATAATACAATTTCTTTAATCCAAAATCTTATTATAATTTAATTTAGGTCTAGTAGCGAAGTAATTTATTTGATTATGTTTATATGCAGTTAATTATCCAAATTCAAAAATGGAGTTTTAATAAATTGTACTTACGTACAGTTTACTTGTAATATTAAATTTAAGTAACACGCATTAATAAACATTCTTCATGTATAAAAATGGTTTTTAAGAATTTTTATCAAATACTTTATAATATTTAAAATTCATATTTTTTGTGTAATTTTTTAATTCATTTTTTTACTATAATTAATTTAGGTTCAATAACAAAGTAATTTATATTTGATTTAATAATATATTTTTCTTATAAAGATAATAATTAATTATTTTGTTAAAACTCGATAATTATTCTAATTATATTTTTTATATTTTAAAATGAGATGTTTATACACTATTTGATTATGTTTATCCGAAGTTAGTTACACGAATTCAAACATGGAACTTTAATAAGTTGTACTTATATATAATTTACTTGTAATCTTGAATTTTAAATAATAAATAATATACATCAATATACAATATTTCATGTATAAAAAATAATTTTTAATTTTTTTTTTTCAAATGCTTTGTAATATACATGGATAAGAGACTCTAAAAAAATAATCTAAATTATAAAATGTCTGTCAGACAGTTTAAGCGGTAAAAATAAAAAACAAACAAAGGTCTCGGAGTTTTAATAAGATCAGAACAATTCTGATGGGCTGTAGCGGTTGTGCGAGGCCCAACAATTCGCAATCTCTGTGCATACCAGACAGAATGGCCAGAAATTGTATATGGAAACTTGTAGCGTCTGTATCATCGTCTTCCATAAGCCAAGAACCCTATATTCCTAAATCCTTTCTACCAGGTGACTTTGAAATCGAGGTAGTAACTCCAACCAGGTATAATCCTGAACCCCGATTTCTTTAAATTTTGCTAGAATATGAGAATCAAGCATGAATTTCATACCTTGTGAAATTCATGTTTGTGTATGTTTTATGGGATAAATCTGCAGATGTTGTACAATGACTTGGAGCATGACCTGACAGGCATTTGATTTGTATATACTATGCTTAATATGATTTTCAATTTTTCGGAGATAATTCAAAAAAATTGCCGTATTCCGTCTAATATTAGGTTTGAAACTTAAATGGTATCAAAATGGTTTCCAATTTGTTGAATTTAAAATTTTATACTGTTGAAGTTCATAGGAACAGCCACACGTCTGATTTTTCCTCTCATTAGCTGTCAATTAGTTGCATCCAGTGTTCATGAAAAGACGTTCTTGGATGGCAATTTTCAAATCTCTCTTGAGGTTACTCATTTTCAATGTGGAGTCATCAATGGCTACTTTGTTTACCTCAATTTTGATTTAACAGTGTTCTTTCTTTTTGAATGTCATATTTTATTATTGGCGCTCTTGTGAGTTTATGTATTGATTTGGAAGGTCATTGGAATGCACTGTATAAGGTAAATGTTGAGTTTTGGTTTGTCCCACAATGACCAAATCCTATACTAATGTTTGCCTTACATTGCCAAACCAATATCTCCTATCAAGTTGTTAGACTCACAAGTTGGCACATATTAAATCTCAAGATGGGCCTTACATAGAGATGCCCCATGTTGCGGGGCGTCTTGCAATAGTTCAAATTTTCTGCACAATTTATTGATTTTACTTGATTCTAAGAGTTGTTGATTATAGTTTATAAAAACAAACAGTGTAATTGATTTGGACTTCAACACCACTTCTTATCAATCAGAAGTGAAATAAGACTTCAGACATTAGCATCTCTTAGAAAACAAACGATACTTAAATCTTTGGAAGTTTGCTATAATTTTTCATTTGGTACGTAAATGGAAATTTGCCTTTGGATGGGTGCCCGTGTATCAATTTGGGGATTGCATGACTTTTAACTTCTGTCCTCTAATTGGCTTGATGATTGTTGTTAAAGTCTGCTGTGTATGATCTAAAAGTTGGGATTGGTCATTGAGTGTGCTTGTTAGTAATAGTAATGTACGGCTTTTTAGATATTCATGCCTATGCTTTTTGTGATGCAGACCCGGGATTTTATGGATGTCAATCAGGTTTTTGAGGTTCCCGACACGCCTGATAGATCAGTAGCAGCAGCACATAATGGTCACCACAACAATATTGAAAGGCAAAGTGATGCTTCCATCAATAACTGTATAGTGAGTAATGATTACATTAACAGAAGGATGAGAAATGAGCCGAGGGAAAAAGGAAAATCAGTTGCAGTTAACAGAAATCGGAGATTGTTTATTGGTCCTGACAGTTGCAGCAACTCCCCGGTTTCTAGATCAGGGGGTTCATGCTCTTTTAAGAACGCTAGGCCTACTATAGATGCTACCAGGCATGACAAAGGAAAGGGTTTATGTAATTCTGATGCCCAAAACTCTGCTTTCAAAAGAAGTGGTAATTTTGCTGTTGCGGCTGAGGAAAACCGGCATGGAGATTATGGAGTTAGCAGAGTAAATGCCTCTAGAAAAGGTGTATTACTGCTCAATGGGGTTTCTGCTGTTAATTCTTTGGATACATCGAGCAAATCATGTAAACTAAATAATACTCTCGAGACTGGTCCAAGCTCCGACTGTGGAAAGGGTGTCGACCTTTTAGCTGCAGCTCATCGTAAAGCTGAAAGTAATGCATCTGCAAGTATGCAACCGTGCACATCATCTAAAGTCCCTCGGCAGAAAATGTTGGTGCGAAATGGATGTATATCTCCCCAAAACATAGCGAAATCTAAACACGTTGCTGAGAAGCATGAAACTGGTAGTGTGGTAAAAGCACGTAATGGTTCTATTACACTGGCATCTGATGGTCAATCAAGTACGGTTGATATTAAGGATCTGATAGCTGACGCTAAAGATGCACACAGATGCAAGGGAAAAAGAGTATCTTGTCATCTTTCATCTAAAGAGCCTGCTGCAGGGGGCAGCCATTTGTCTCATAGGTACCATGGTGCAATCTTTTGTTTGACTGAGGGGCGAGTTTGGTTGTTTTTTCATCAAGTTCTACATGGATAAAGTTGTCTGTGGGGATTAATCTGTCGTATAGGTTGAGAAGGTTTTTGGTTGAGAGGGGTTTTTCGTAGATGGTAGGAGCATGTTTTTTAATTGGGAGGGGCAGGTTTGGAAAAAACTAGGCTTTCTGGATAAAGCTTCCCCCTAGAAGCTTATAGAATAAGCCACTTTTCTATGTCATTAAGCTACTACCAAACATTCATGTATAGTTGACTGAATAAGCTGTGAGTCCCATTAAGCTTGTTAAGCTGATAACAAACAGGCCATGAGTCTCTTCTGGTGTTGGTATTATCTAAATTATCTCTTAGAATATTTGGATACAGTTTGTCTTATGATCACAATTGGATGTTTAAGAGCTCTCTGTAGTTTTGCAATAAGTTTATAGGACGCTTTTGGGCGTCGTAACAAGTTTTTATAGATATTTTTAAAATAAAGTGTCGTATTAGCTAATTTATTGGATACTTTTTGAAAAAAGTGTCTTATAATAACAAGTGTCCTATAAAAAGATATGTTTATAGAACACTTTAGAAATATCCTATAAAATAGCTAATACGACGTTTTTATTTAAAAAATGTCCTAAAAAACTTATTAAGACACTCAAAAGCATCCTATAAATTTATTACAACACTTTTACATAGGACACTTTATTATTGGTCCTATAAAGCGATCGATTAGGCCAATTAGACATTGTTGGCCTCCTATAAACCCGATATATTGTTGTTTTGTGTCTTGAATGAAGTTATAAGCTTCTTCTGTAGATGTGGTTCCCTTGAATTCGTGATTGGAACTTTATTGGTTGTGTGATATACTTGCAGGAGATCTATTCAAGAACCGGTTGATAGTAGCAGTGGTTTCAGTGTAGGTGCCTCTAGATGCTCTGCTGAATCAGGAAGATGGAGAACCACCCACAACCATAGGAAACAAAGAGAAATTGAACATCAAAAGAACGGAACGTTGCAAAGGGATCATAGGAATGGAAGAGACATCATAAATCTAGATGAATCGGATGTAGTCTCTTCTCGACATGTTTGTGATTTACCTCCATCAATGCCCCCTCAGAAGTCGGGTATTAATGGACAGAGGGAGGGTACTGCCCCCAGAAATTTTGGCAAACGTTCTATGTCATGTGTCGATGCCCCTGCCGGGGAACCTTCGAGTTCAAGACCAAAAAGGAACAAGAGCCTTCATGGTGTCGGCACTTCGAATTCAGTCTCTGAGCCCAATACACGCCATGGTAATGATGAGGGTTCGAGTGTCAGAGCTCTACAGGTTGAGGCAGATGAGATGTTGGCTAGAGAACTGCAAGAACAGTTATACAATGAGCCGACACCTTCAGTTGAAATTGGCGAGGTTCTTTTTTTATAATCTATTATATCCAGAGACCGTTTATGATCATATGATGACCTTCTTCATATGCGTACATCTTATTTATTTACTGCATTATGTATGTTGTAAACACAGATGGATTCTCGTCTTGCATTTGGAATGCCAGTGCAGCAGGATAACAGTTCACGGCATGCTGGAGGTCGTCGTGCTATTCGTCGTGTATGTCATCTTGCCAACTACCAATTATTTGGAATTGCCCAAATAGCCATTCCGGACTTCCCAATTCATTTTATAGCTGCTTTTCTACCCAATTGACCAAAATAGCCAAGATTCCGCAAGTAGCGTTTTAGCAACTTGCAAAATCTACTTTTTTTGAATGTAATATTCATAAAGTAACTTCTCTTTAAATAGAGCTTTAACAACTTTAGCAAGTAGCACCTTAGCAAGTTGCGTAAGTGGCACTTCCATGTGAGCATTTTGCAAGTAGCAATTTAGCAACTTGCGAACTTGCGAACTTGCTACTTTATGAATATTATATACATAAAGGTGGATTTCGCAAGTTGCTAAAGACTTACAAAATCTTGGCTATTTTGGTCTATTATGTAGAAAAGTGGCTATAAAGTGAATTTGGAGCTAGATGGTAATTTCAACGATCATAAGTATTTGTTCTAGAGAAGCTACCATTATTATTATGACTCTTATGTTGATATTTGGTATATACTAAAACCAACTAGTAAGTTATTACAATGCTTCTTTTCCCTAGTTTCGTGTTCCCCATCAGTCTATGCTTATTTTTGAAAAATGTTTTCTATGGTTGTGCAGCGAGGGCCATCGATGATGAATGTGCATGAACCCATCCGGCGCCCTACAATTCGAAGACGACTTCAACGTCAAGTTCGTACCTCCACAAGAATGGATCCAGTTAGGCGTGTCTTTTCACGTTCTCGAACAACATTTTCTTCATCCAACCGAAGAAACTCAATATTTCCTGCAAACATGGATGTGGACATGGTATGGAAAAGAACAATGTGCTTTTTATTTCTTATTTGTTCATTTTCATATTTATACTTTAACTTGTTTCTTGAGATGCAATTTTAGATTCAGTGGTAATTGGCTCAAAAATAAGTTGAATGATACTTTTCAATGAGTGATAATTGAAAGGATAAGTTATTGTGTCATCGTATTTGAGTTCGGAGATAAAATAAATGGAAGGAAATGGCGGAAAGGAGAGTGATATGGAAGCTCTGTTAAAGTTGGCGAGCTATTCAATTAAAAAGAATTACGAATGCAGCCAGAGGCGGACCTAGAAATTTTTTCAAGTGGTGGCACCATTTGACTATAAAAAATTAAGCTGTGGATATTTTTTTACAGAATCGTAATTGATCTGTTGGTTAGTTCCTTGCTTTTTGTATGTGAGGTTCCATGTTCCAGTCTTTTATCCCAAAAAATTTCAGAAACATAATAAAACTGAGATTAAAAGCTAAAAACTAAGAACATGACACAAATGGGATTCAAACCCACACCTCGAAGGGGAGAAAAGGCCATGCAAACCAACTCTACCAAAAGACATTTGTGTTATTGTTGTAGTTTCAAGGAATATATGATTGTCCCCAACAAAATAATATGGTGATTCCTTTCACGACCCTAAAAAATGTTACACTATGATGTAGGAATGAAGCGGTGGCCCGTGCCACCCTATGCACCACAGTAGGTCCGCCCTTGAATGTAACAACTCTATTGCCACTTAGTGTGCTACAAAAGTGATCTGTTGATAAAGAGTTTCTGCTTCATTGTGTGTGTGTCCGCATGCGTATCTGATCATTTTTGGGTCCTTTGAGGACTAATTCCCTATTTGTTCATTGCAGAGAATGCAGATACTCGAAACATTAGAGGCCGTCGGTGATATGCGAATGCCTAATGATTTGTTACACATGGGGCGTGAATTCAACGAGTAAGAAAATTTTATACTATCCTTATAATATTTTATGTTGTTATCTTTATTTTGTTGAAATACTTGCCCTTCTCCAAATAAGCTCCAAGGTTTTCTCTTCTCTTTTTTTTGCCAAGAGGGGAATAAAGGTTGCCTTATAAGGGCCCGGATACCTCCTCTACCATATGTGTTTTAAAACCTTGAGTCGAGGTGTGGACAAAGCTGACAGTATCTGGTACGGTTAGCCTAAGATGTTACAGATGGTATCAGAACTGGGAACCGGACTGTGTTCCAGTGATGATGCTGGGCTCCAGGGGGTGGATTCTAAGATCCGATATCAGTTGGGGAGGGGAACAAAGGTTGCCTTACAAGGGACCAAATACCTCCTCTACCAGACGTGTTTTAAAACCATTAGTCCAGTTGTGGACAAAGCGGAAAACATCTGGTACGGTTAGCAAGGGATGTTACGGAAATGCCCCTTATGTTTTTCCTATTAATTTTTCAGCGTCCTTTTTGGTAATTTTACATTGTTATCTAGTTTTCACCAAACGTAACTAGTTTATCAGCTAACAACTAGTTTGCCAAACATAGCCTAAATTTCTCTTTGTGTTGCAAATGATTGTTTGCCTTCTGCTCTTCTTTCTTATCATACGTGGTAGTTGAGATTTGAGAACGATTATAGCTATTTTCTAGTCTTTATATTTTACCTCTTTGTGATCAGGGACGATTATGAAATGTTGTTGGCTCTTGATGAGGATAATCACAGACATGGAGGCGCAACTCGTGCACAGATTAATAACCTGCCAGAGTCAACAGTTCAGGTAATTTACAGTTATTGCTTGTATGCAATTGTGGGAGGTGCGTGTCTTATTAGACTGTCGATATTAGTCTTTACTACTGTTAGAATATGTGAAACCCCATTAGATTACCCTTTATAAAAAGTCCTCGAGGAGAGAAAGGAGGTTCCAACATATATCAAGGAGAATTGGTCCAAGTCTAGCCAATGTGTGATTCTAATACGCCCCCTCTAACGGAGGCTAGACGGGCATAAATTGTTACAGAGAGCGGAGAGGGGGATAGATGGGTGCCCTGGCTAGACGAGAACAGATTGTCCCGGATTATGGAGTCCCGAGAGTGATAGACATTGGCTTTGATAACATGTTACAATATGTGGAACATCATTAAGTTACTCTCCAAAAGAGCCCTTGAGGAGAAATGCTGCAAGTGTAACTGATGTTGGACTCTAATAACCATTTGTGGTTGCAGGCTGAAAATCTTCAAGAATGTTCAATTTGTCTTGAAACTCCTACTGTTGGTGAAACCATTCGACATCTTCCTTGTCTTCATAGATTTCACAAAGCGGTATGAACTCTTACTTTGCTATTGTTTTACAAATACGAAAACTAAGCATATATGTGGATAACATGATTCAGGGTCTTCAAGATAATTAAGGATTTAGGGTTTCACTTATGTTTACTAGTTGTGTACCCATGTGATGCTACGGGAGTTAAGAGAGTTTATGATAAAACAAGAACGGAAAATTAATGTAACTCCCTCTAAAAAAGAAAATTCCGAATTTATGTTTGAACAAAATAAAAATTACATGGCTTGCTGAGTCGAAGACTTTGTAAACACAAAACCCTCCCGGACCCTACCTCCAAGTGGGATATAGACATAGCGAACTCATTTCTTTTATGTGGCAACACTGCAAGACATAGAAGCATCCCTGTTTTGTAGCTAAACGATCCTTTCTGTTTTTGTTTTTGTCCCAGTGCATCGATGAGTGGCTGAGAAGAAAAACATCGTGTCCTGTATGCAAATTGTCGGTCACTTAATTCACCTGCATTTTTGCAAAAAATGAAGCCAAATACGCAGTCAAAACTCATTTGGGAACCGAAGGTAGATTCAACTTGGTATTTACGAGTTATGGTAGGAGATCGGTTTATATATACAATATAGTAGGTGTTGGTGAAAAGGCCGTTTATAGAATCAAGCCTTTGAACCGTATGTTCAACATGAGCTCAAGATGTTCGATTGAGCTTGGACTCTTGGCCTTCCCGTGCACTGCGAGGGCCAACAAATAAAATATCGCGAAAGATACCGATCAAAGACTGCCGTTGATGATCTTGGTTGGCTCTTTGTTGAGATCGATTCATTCATAACCATGTTTGTGAATGAATCTGCAAGATTTTTGTGATTCCTTGGTTTGAATACTCGTTTTGGTCGAAATCTCAGAGATCAGATGATTAACGGTATACACTCTTCGGTTTTTTGTTTATGCAAATATAAGATTTTGCTACATTCTCTTTTTAGCGATCTTATAGAAATACAACAAACCATTCGGGTACCAAAGGGTCATTAGTTCAACAGTATCTAGATTAACGGTAGCGCCTTCCTTTATGTAAGTTAAGGATTCAATTTTGATCATTAATATTGCTATTTTAACATATAATAAATAAGGTTATATAACTTGATATTTAAAGGAAATTTGTTAAAGTCATCTAGGCATGGCAACGGGGCGGGTTTCGTAATCCCCGACCCCGGCGGGTACGGGGATTATCATCCCGTCCCCGGTCAAATCTCTAGTAATCCCCGGTCAAAACTCGGTAAAACCTCGGTCAAACCGTATAAATAATTTCCTTTAGTTAGATTCTACCGGGGATCCATGGCCCCGGCCCTGGTTTGAGTAACATCCCTCGTCCCCGGTTTGAGTCTACTGGGGATCCCCGGCCCCGGCCCTGGGACCCGTTTTAGCGGGGAATCCCTGTCTCCGTTCGGGTGGTGTGAACCGGGTTCCTCACCGGGTCGAGGAAAATCACCATCCCTAAAGTCATCCATATTTTAACATTTTGTTCTTATTAAAATTTATCACATTTAATCTAAAAGCAACCACAATGTTTAAAATAAAATCTTTTAAATTTTTAATTAAAATAATATTACTTGTAAGATTTATTTTTTGCAACAAATCTTTTTTGGAATGACTTAAGGGGTAGTTTATCAAACACTTATCCGGTAAGCGTTTACCGGTAAAATTAACACTATGTACCGAGTAAGATTTTAGTTTACGAAAATGGCATCGCATGCATCAATTTGCCCGGTAAGTGCTTACCGTGGTAAGTCATAGTCTCACTTACCGGGTAAGACTCTTGATCCTTGTCTTGCTCTTACCTGATAAGATTCGTGGTCTTTACCGTATTCATTCGGTAAGGTAATATGACTTAGTTTGGTAATCGACTTCTAAATTTATATCACAAGCATTTATTATGATAGTTTTTGAAAAAGGTTCAATTTTGGTCCCTAACGTTTGAGATTTTTCGATGGATATCGTTTTTTAAACTTTAAAAGCATGGATTTGATCCCTATGTTTGTCAATTCTCAATGGTTTTGGTACTCTTGTTTAACGGTCGTTATCTTTCTATGCTAAGTTTGATTAAATGAGGGGTATTTTAGTCATTTTTACCCTTTTCATCTATACTATATTATAAAGCATTTGATAAAAACCCCTAAAAACTATTTTTTATGTATGAATTACTTTTATTGATACACATTACTTAAAAGTCAAGATTACAAGTAAATTATGCGTAAGTACAACTTATTAAAGCTTCATATTTGAATTCGTGTAACTAACTGCAGATAAACATAATCAAATAGATGATAAACATCTCATTTTAAATATAAAAAATCTAAAATAAAATTATAAGAAAATTATATTACCAAATATAAATTACTTCGTTATTGAACTTACATTAAATTTTAATAAAAAAATTGAATAAAAAAATTACACACAAATAAAAAATTTAAATAGTTAATTTGATATTAATATATTTTTGTCAAAATTTTATGATATTTTTAAATTTATATTTTATTTCAAAATAAAAACATCATCGCTTTTTCAAAATCATTTAAAACCATATTATAATATCGACTGAGATAAATAATAAAATGAAATATTAAAATCAAGATGTATCTCGCTGCATTGCGCGAGTATCCTTCTAGTTTTATTAAAATAAAAAGACATTGCACTTTTAGTTTTAAATTGTAAAAGAAACGAAAGGCGGTGGTTATTCTTTTTTATTTTCTGGTTCAAAGAACGTACTTTTAAAATTTCACTGTTAAGACTTAAAACAAGTTTATTTAAGGGTCCATAATCTAAACACCGTCTTTATTAGGGAATGTACTCTATAAAAAACACTGATCAAGTTTTACAACTGTCACATTTTTTTTGTAAGGGTGTTCGGGCCAAAGCCCGACTAATCCCCGGCAAATTTGGAGGCTAAACATGGCCTCACTTAAATGTCGCCAATACTCCCCTCCCAGGGCTCGAACTCGGATTCATGACTATGCCATGCCCAAGCCTTTACCACTAGGCTGGAAGGTCTTTGACTACAACTGTCACATTATTGGGTACTAAAACAGACAATCTTCAAACTATAACCTCTTAAATATTTCGTTTGAAATTATGTTCCAATAAATAAGAATTGAATACATTGCCTTTTAGTTTTGTTTTAGGATGATCCGTATGTATGATTTGTAGGTTCGTTCCTAACCTTTTATAGGCTCTGTGCAAGATGTAAGAAATGGACCCTTGATAAGTACGAAAAAAATTCATTGATTCTGTCATTTTTATCATTAGAAATAACGTTGACTTCAAGAAATACTAATAATTCATATAAAACCATTTTAATAAAGTAATTTAAATCGATAGTTATTTTTAAATTAATAGTATTTGTCATTTCATTTTTACATAACATCATCAATCCGTTCAATCATTAAAAAAACATTGTATCATATACCTTTAATATATAGATTGACATCATTTGGGCCGCAATGTTGACTACTCGGAGTAACACTCTATGTAAATTGATATAAATCAGTTGACTTTCTATCTCAGCTCAGGTTAATATTTTTCATTACCGTTTTAAACTTTTAGAAGTAAAAAAAAGGTAATAAGACTCGTATTCTTGTTTTAGAGATAGGAAAATGTTTAAGACTCATACATTCAATATTAGGTAATAAGAAGTAAATAATGTGTGAAAAATGAAGGGTAATTTTGAAACCTTAAATATAGATATAAGTTGGACTGTCTCATATTGTTGATATATATATATATATATATATATATATATATAGAGGAGTGATCATATGAAAACCGCCCTCATTTGTGTAAACCGTGCAAACCACCTTCATCTGTCGATTTCATTGTTTAATCTTATGAAATTTTTTCATGAAATTGTTTAATCTTGTGAAATTGTTTCATATAATACTTTTTTTTGATGAAGTTGTTTCATATATGGTTGTGAAATTGTTTCATATAATACTTAATGAAACTGTTTCATGTATTTCTCTAACATTAATGAAACTGTTTCATGTATTTCTCTAAAATTAAAATAATAAAGATGATAATATCTATGATTAACACTCTCCACAATAAAAATGATTAATCAACCTCTCATAATTACAAAAAAAAGAACAAAATGAAAAATTATGATTGGTTGAATGCGGTTTGCACGGTTTGTACAAATTGAGTGGTTTGCATTTGATCGCTCCCCTATATATATATATATATATATATATATATATATATATATCTTTTCCAAATGTATGATTTTTTTTATTAACCTGGATATTTAACCCGCTATGCGAGCCGACTAATCCTAGGGCGACCACCGCCTGCAAAGCAGATAGCCCGAAGTCAATGCATTTGAACCTCTGTGGCCACAAGAGAATTTTTATTCCTCATTGGATTTGAACCTGGGACCTCCTGGTACTTTTGACCTTTGGAGCCAAGCTCAAACCAATCAGGCACCACCCTTGTAGTTAAATGTATGAATTTTCTTATTGATAACAAGAAATCTACTATATTCTAATGTAAAAATAGAATTCTTATGAATGGAATAATAAAAAAGTCAGTGGGAGATGAACGATGAAGAATATATCAATGTTTTATAAATAAGTAGTTTTAGACTTTCGTAATAGATAAAAAACATGCAGAAGCACTAAGCCTATAAAATGAATGACCAATTAACCTTTTTCATATATTTTTTTTCTCAATGTAAATAGTTAATACATGTTTCGGCCTTTATATAATTCAAAATTCTTTTTGGGTCATATTAGGTACTAAAAAAAATTGTATCTCTCTTATTTACCCAATGCTATAACGGGTAAATTTTTTAAAGTATGATGTCCTAATAAAAAATATTTTGAATGTACATTATTTTAATAAGAAAAACTGAAAGTACAATGCTATAATAAGAAAATTTGTAAAAGTAGGTTGCTACTTCACGTATTTTACCCTAAATAAAAATTAAAAGTATTCTTATTATACTCTGACTATAAAAAAGGTTTATTATATAAAATAATTTAATTAAAAGAAGATACTGAATAAATATTATTTAATTTATTTTTAAAAGATTTTAGTGTCATTTGTTAAATTTTATCCGATAAACACTTATGATGTTATTTTATCTTATTGGATGAACATGATAGAACTTTAGTTATGAGTTATGGCCCATAAAACACAAATTATATAAATTTATAAGAAATTAAATAAAACTATTATTTTTATTTTCATACTTTTTAATAATATTCTAAATTAATAATTGTAATTTATATTGTCAAAATGACGTCAATAATAACATTTATAGATTCTGATCAAATTAATTAATATAGAATAACAGGAAAAAAAAAAAACTATAAAAATTAAATAAAAATGATATGTGATTGTAAAAAATATAAACATATGATCTAAAAAACTGAATAAAAAATATAACTAAAAGCATCTCCAATGAATCCACAAATCATTAACTTGGATATTTAACCTGTTATACAAGCCGACTAATCACAGAACGACCACCCACTTCGTGGGTAGCTAGGAGTCATCGCATTTGAACCTCTATGGCTACAAGGGGATTTTTATTTCTCATTGGATTCGAACCTGAGATCTCTAGACACTTTTGACCTTTGGAGTTTAAGCTCAAACCAATCAGACACCAAAAAAGTCTTGGTCCCACCATTTTTCGTGTAGAAAATCTTCATTAAACTATAGAAGTGAATTAATCCGGTGCATTGAAATGCACCTCATTAGTGTTGACATTCGATTAGAATTGATCTAAGGGTAGAGATCTCTTTTATGTCCTCAGTATAACTTTCATTCTCACATGAATCTAACCCATAAAGTATCTAGGTAAAATAAACTAAATTTTAGTTGTACAAAATATATAAAACATTAAGGGACCGTTTACCAAACGCTTACCCGGGTAAGCGCTTACCAAGTCACATTATCTCATCGGATGAATATGGTAAGGACCAAGAATCTTACCCGGTAAGAGCTAGACAAGGACCAAGAGTCTTATCCGGTAAATGAGGGCGACGACTCTTACCACGATAAACATTTACTAGATAAATTGTTGCATAAGATGTCGTTTTGGTGGGTTAAAATCTTACTTCGTAAGTAAATGACAGTGTTAAATTTTACCAGTAAACACTTAGCGGGTAAGTATTTAGTAAACGTCCCCTAAGTGTAAATCACTAATAAAATAAAAATACGATTTGTTGAGGATTTTTAACTGAAAATATGTTTCACATATATGGAGAAAAAAGGTTAAAGTGACTTCTCGTATCTCTAAGGCCTCGTTTGTTTTAAAAAAACTTTTATTACCCTCTTATGTATGATTCGTTAAGAATTAGAGTCATTCAAACTGTTTGTTTTCTCCAAATTTTCAGAGACACTTATGTCTTATTGTCATTTTATCTGATAAGAAGTAAACCAACCTCTTATTTGTCACTTATTTTTTTTTGTAAGGGTGTCCGGGCCAAAGCCCGACTAATCCCCGGCAATTTTGGAGGCTAAACATGACCCCACTTAAATGTCGCCAACACTCCCCTCCCAGGGCTCGAACTCGGGTTCATGACTATGTCATGCCCAAACCTTTACCACTAGGCTGGAAGGTCTTTGTATTTGTTACTTATTGTTCTCTAAATCCACAACGACATTTCTCAAAATCCTTACCGGTTGATGTATTTTAATAGGATTTAAATGTGTAAAAAACCGTTAATGACATATTTTTACTTACATTAATGCTAATTATATAATTTAGATGTAAATTTCATGATGATGATTAATAAATATGTAAAATTGTATAGATATATCTTTAAATTCAACACTATAATTTTTCAGTGGGTAAAAAATGGCTAATTTAAACACATTCAGATATTCATCAGTTTACAAAAACAAATAGTTCTATTGATTCATATTTCAGACTTTAGCATCATCTCCTATCAATCAGAAGTAAAATAAGACTTCAGACTCCGACATCTCTTAAAAAACAAACGCATCCTAAAAGTACCTTTGGTACACTGAACATGACAAGACAGAACATAACAGAAATCACTGTTCCATGTTTGCCAGGTTTTTTATGTTGAACAAATAGGAAGAAAGTGGAACAGATGTATTCCATACCCACCCTATGAAACAAGGTAGAACAAAATAGAATCGACTTATATTTTACCAATATAACCTCAAAATAAAACATAATTCTTTTTTAAAACATCAAATACACATTCCTTTTTATATTTTATTATTTTTTAAAATTTTATTTATTTATATTTTATGATTTTTAAACTTTCATTTTACTATCCTCAAGATATTATTCTTTTACTGTTTCTATATTTTGTTTAATTTATGTAATTTATTAAATATTACTAATAATAAATTAATATAAAAAAGGTGTAAAAATAAGAAATTGGAAACTATATAAACTTTTATTTTGATGTCATTTTAATCGTGTTGACGAAAACTTTCTAATGATATATTTTATTATCAACAATATCTATTTTATAACATACTTAATCATTTAAAAGTGAGGTTCATGAAAAACTGTAAAAAATGAAAAATTAAGGAACGTCCTACTACCATTAATTATTAAGCTATGTACATATGTATATAAGTAATTTTTCGCTATATACATGTAAATAACAGACATACATACATACATAAAAACCAAGAAATATCTTTAATTACTTGTATATACATGTACATGCTGTATAGATGAACGATTATTAAGGTGTCAGTTAATTTCTCACTTTTTTTACGGTCTCCCTTAAACTGTTACTAACCGTAGTCATTTATATTCAAATACAAAATTAAGATTTTCTTTTTAATAAAAAAAATACATTATTTATTTTATTTTTGGTTAAAATAGAATTTTAGTTATCCAAGGTGTATATGTATATGTAGGGTTGGATTTACATGAGACTAAGAATTTTTTGTGAGATCGTTAAGATCAATTTATATTTATTGATCAACTTTATAAGTTAATGGTCTAAAATTATATGGTGATAATTTTGTGATTATTGAGAAGTCTCGTGACAATTTTATAATTATGAAGGTTCAAATTATAGATCTAATTCAAGGTTTGAGAATTAATATTACATGACTCATAAAAAACTCATGGTCTCACGTGATTCAAGTCTGTATGTATATGTATATGTATATGTATATGTATATCAGTATATGTATATCAGTATATGTATATGATCCCGATTCATTAGTTAGTTAGGGTTAGGTACCCCACCCACCTTCCCCCCTTTTTCATCGGTTGATGGCGCGTAATTACGACAATTATGAAACAATCAAACTCCCTCAAATCTCTCTCTCCCTATCTTTTTTCACGAACAAAGTCCAAATTCCAAATCGGGTTTTGGTTTTGATCGAATAATGAAACCTTGAGACGTAAAGTATCACGACATCCCCATCTAATTGAATCCATGGGGAAAAATGGCAGGTACCCACTGATTTTCATTGATTCATCTCAAATTTATGCTCATAAAATTTCTAATGGAGGGTCAATTTCATGTCATAATTTTCTCCAGAAACCTTAAAAATGGAAGGCGAGATGCACCATACCTTTTGCGGGTTATTGTTGGTTTTCATAGAATGTGATTAATTTTGGATCTTTTAATTGCTGATACAAGAAGAATATGCTTGACGAGGTGTTTGATAAAATGCATGAATGACAATATGTGATTTTTTGATTGCAGGATGTCTTGAATTGCAACTTATTGGAGCCATATATAGAACTGCATTCATTCTATGTGCATAATTTGACAAAAAAAAAGAAAAAATTGAAGCCCAGCAACTTGAATGGATATTCGGTTTCTATCTATGATAAGTTATAGTGTAAGTTGCAACTGTAACATATTCAAGGCCCGTTTCAATTGAGATTTTTCCTGCCTCAACGCTGTTGTGATTTCTTGTTCCAGAATATCAAGCCTTTAAAGCGTGCATCTTTGGAAGAGACAATAATGCTATTGCGCTGCTAAGTAATCTTTATATCTTCAATTTGACAATTTTCAGTTGAGAAAATGACAAGTGAAGTTCCGGATACTGCAGGAGCACAATTAGAGAATGGTCTAACAAGGAACGGAAGTGATATAGATTCTCGTATACGCAATCTATCTATTCAAACAGGTGAAGAGTTTTCTCCAGAGTTTATAAGAGACCGCACACCTAGAAGAAAAGCAAACACCGGTGAAGATTGTCCTCAAAAGGTTTCTAAAGAGCGTCGGTCCCCTAGAAATCTATTAGAGGTTCTTGAAGATTGCCCGCTAGAATATCCTCAAAACCATGGTGCATCTACACGAAGTTCCACAGAAAATCTTACAGATCAACACCAACAGAGGAGAATAGGCTTTCATTTCAATCCAAACCAGCAACTTGTTTATGATGATCGTGCTGGTTGTGGGATTAGCAAAGGAGATCCTGAAAACAGAACCGGTTCTTCAGGTTTTTGGTCTGGCAACGGAATTCCAGTTCAAGCAGAGAAACATGCATATTCTGATTCATCAAGCAGATGTCACTATAAGGATTATACTCCAAGGGAATATCAGCAGCATCAACAACCATTGACAGATACAGATGAAACCTATAATCACCAACTTGGTTTTTATTCTACTTCACCACAATACAAATCAGGTTCTCCGCGCTCATACCAACATTACGGTCATGTTTCAGGAATCCCAGATGGTTCTTTTTGTGGGAAAATGAAATTTCTATGTAGCTTTAGTGGGAAAATATTGCCAAGACCAAGTGATGGGAAGCTTAGATATGTGGGAGGGGAGACACGGATCATATCTATTAGGAAAACTCTTAGTTATCAAGAACTCATGAAGAAAACTAGTGCCATTTGCAACCAGCCTCATACAATCAAGTACCAGCTTCCTGGTGAGGATCTTGATGCTCTGATATCGGTATGTTCTGGTGAGGATCTTCAGCATATGATAGAGGAATATCACGAACTGGAAAGAGGGTCTCAAAGACTACGGATATTTCTTATACCTTTAAACGATCCTGAGAGTCCATGTTCTGATGATTCAAGGTCTATTCATCAGACTGATAAGAGCTATCAGTATGTGGTTGCTGTAAATGGCATGAATGAACCATGTCTTCGAAAGAACTCCAGTAAGGAGAATCTGCTGGGCAGAACAGTGGAATCTAGTCCAAGTTCTCAAAGATATACGCCTAATTCTGCTCAACCAATGGATGCTGGAGGCAGCTCATTAAATCTGAACATGAAGCTCATAAATCCAACTCAGATGATTCAGAGTCCCGTTAATATGATGTCATCATATATGCAGGCTCCTGCACCTCACATGCCAGTTCAGCTTAAAGATCCACTGAATCCACAACTGATAGTGTACAGAGATCGTGTGGACCCACCAGCATACGATAACCCCTATCATCTTGATGCCACCAGCTATCATGCCAATCATCCTCTCAACAGTGTAACAGCAGGCAATGTGTCTTCCTTCCGACATCCCCATGGTCAAGGTGATATGGACGTTCAGAGGCCTGTGCATAATGAATCTGCAATTCAGTCAAAACAGTTTGTGTTCTCTCAAGATAAATCGGGTACGTTTTATGACCCCAATTTCTCATTTAGGGGCTGTTTACTCGGTTCTGATTCTCTTACTGGGTAAGAGCTTTTTACCTTGTAAGAGATGATGCTGTTTACCTCCACTTCTTACTGACCGAGGTGCTGACCGAGTCAGACAGTGCTTACCAGATTGTTTTTATCGGTAAGCACTTACTACAAAACACTTGGTAAACAACCATTTTCAGTCGGCTTTTACCTAGACCAAACCTCTTACCCAAGTTGTGATGGTAAACGGCCCCTAAACAATACCTCAAAGGTCTTATCTTACTTGCTATGGCTCTCTAAAGACGCAGATAACTACCCTCTTCAACAAGATGTGGTTCCGTCAATGCATAGCAAACTAGAAACCCCCCCTTTCTTTGTGCATCAACAGGAGGCAATAAAGGAGAACACTCGAACATCTGGAAGTGACAATCTTCCAACTATTGCAACTTCTGACCTTGACAAGCAGTATGCAGAATGGAGTCAAGATAACATAACGTGGATGGCAAAGAACAATTCAAACTTAAATTCGGGTAGGGATCCAGATCAAAATCAGTACATTGTATCGTCAGCTACCACTTCAGGTGAGCATCATTATATTGTTAGGACACCAAGTAGTAACGCGATCTTCAATTTATCTTCTGGACTGCACTATGATTCGTCTCAAGAAATGGGCAGAGCAGACGTGTATTCTGAAAACCATGTCCTTGTAACTGCATCTACTGAGAGTGACTGCATTTTGAGCTCAAATTTGAATGAAAATGGCCCCCTTATCAATGATTTGGTGATTATAAGTCCAGCCATCCCTACTGCCATTAGAGGTGATGTTTCTCGTGTTAAGAGCTCTGTAGATAATGTTAGTGACAGGAGCCCATCGCAAATCTCAGATGATAAGAATGATGCTGATATGCCGGAATTCCCTCTTCTTGTTGACGGTATAACTGATCATCTGCCACCAGATATCCCCTCATCAGAAGCAGTTATGCCATATACTGAAGATGAACCTAGTGATGGAGTTTTAACCCCTAGCGACAAACAAAATGAGGGTGTTGCTCAATCCGATAGCAAGGTAACAGTCAAACGATTTATAGAAATTCATGTTAATTAGTAATTTCTTTGGTAGATTTGATTAATTACCCTTTTTAGGATGTTGAAGATGACAAGGGTGTTAAGGGCGAACACATCAGTGGTTCAAGAATAGCTCAAATGGAAGCAGGGATGTATGGTCTGCAGGTACTGTAATTTATGCTCTCTCCACACACGAAGCGCGGAATTGATATACAAGCACAATAATGAATTTTTTTTCAACCATAGGCCTAATATCTAAAAGACCTTGCACTTTAAAAAATAGGCATATCTTGTGGACCAACGTCACCCATGATTGGTTAAATGGTTACTAAGGAGGCAATATGCGAGTTACTTTGCAAATTTCTTTCCATTCTTGGTACTAGCTTATGCATCACTAGATATTAAGGTCCCATTTAACATATACATATTTTTTTTGTCCATCCCTATTATTAATTCTGGACATGCATATGGAGCTTGAAAGATTATTTTCCTATAAAATTTGGACCCTGAACAACATTTTCATCATGACATCTCGACGAATGTGGCCAGGCAACCCTGGACTACATGCTGTATTCTACTAGCAGACAGAAGTACGTAAAACATGTTTTCCCATCCCTTTTTCTTAAAAAAATCTAACTAAACTAACCCAGTAAATCTCATGTAGAGTAGAGGTAAGGTTTGCGGGTAGGATGTAGGCAAACCTTGCCTGTACTCCAAGGGGTAGGGACCGTCCCTTTCTCTTCTGATCTGCAAATACCAAGCCCCCACAGTTTGTTGCTTGGTGGGTTGGTATCATTTGGTAAAAATCTTTTTGGTTTCCCTCTCTAAATCATCTGGACTATGCTTTCAGTTATAATTGATTTTGCTTTTTAGTTTGACAAATGGATTCCTCTTTATCATCTAAGGCCATAAATGTGCATAACATCATGCCTTCAAAACTTTCCGAGAATGACCTATCATCTTATTACATATAAAGGCACCTATTCTAACAAACATGATTAAGCATGCTACTAAAAATGGTAAATCTATGATTTAAATTTTGCCTCTTCTGTTCATACATCCAGTTTCTCTTACATTGACAAGAGATGAAAGCATTCATTACGCATAATACTGCTTAGCTTTTTCCTTCTTGAATATGAAGCAAGAGAGAATAAACCTCTTCCAGTACACTACACCAAACCAAACAAGCCTCCAGTGGTGTCCGGGGTTAAATGTACGACCTATCCTCTATCCCAAAGAGTTAAGCGGTTGTTTCCGTGAAGACCCCTGATTTGTGAAAAAGTGTGAGAGGCAATGAGAGCTTGGCTGATGCAATATCTGGCAAGGTGCTACTTTAGACGCTAGTAGACTATCCTTTCATTTCAATTTGACATTAAATAGCCATATAACTTAACAAGTAAATTAGTCCTGTATACATATCCAATAGGGTGCAGCACATTATATTAGTGTGATTAAGATTTAGAACACATCTTAATTCTTAGCCTGCTGAAATCAACCTCCATCATTTGGATCAAGCGTCACTCTTCATTGCTAATCAGCCTGGATATTATAACATGGAATGATGACTTGAATGCTTATAGAGACCCCAAAGATATATAAAATCTCACACTATTGCTTTTACTCGACTCCTTGACTGGAAACTTGGTCATCTTCAATTTCAGAAGAATAAATGATGCTATCATAATGTTGCATGTGAAAGGTCATCATACCAATTCTGCAAATTGTTACAATTGATTCCGTCTTACCTCCCTTGCAAAATTTTCCATTATAAGAGCTAAAACTTTAGCTTATCCTAACCAACATTCTGTTTCAAATATGCAGATCATACGGAACTCTGATCTTGAAGAACTTCGTGAATTAGGATCTGGCACATTTGGAACTGTTTATCATGGCAAATGGAGGGGAACGGATGTTGCTATCAAGAGGATTAAAAAAAGCTGTTTCTCGGGGAAAAAATCAGAGCAAGAGCGATTGGTAAGTCATTGTTGCAAGTAAAAAAATCAATTTCATCTCTTCCTTGTCTTCATCAAAATTCACCATATTTTTTGAGGCAAATACGCATCAAAATATAAAGAAGTTTGTCTTGGTTCCTATTTAGTGTAACACCAATTTTTTTTCTCAACCAGTGTAACAAACTTTCAATTTTTCTTATTTCATACTCATTTTTCCACGTCATTGATGGTTACAAAAGTTGTTGGTTACAGGTCAAAATGGGTACGAAGTAGGAACAATTGAACGTTGCTACACTAACTGAATAGGATCAAAAGCAGACTACGTTGTATTTTGCTACATATTGGCCTATCTTTTGCCAGTGGTGGACCTACATAGGAGCATACCCGCTTCATGGTTCCGTTATAATGGAAAAAATTACATTTCTGAAGGGTGCCACGTATTGTTTTGTTGGGTGCCTTATATTTTTTAACCAAACTATTTCCACAAATCTTTAACGGTGGAGTTGGTAAATATTGCTACCTTTCTACAAAAGGCCTGGTTTTGAGTCCCATTTCTGTCAAATTTCTTAGTTTTCAGCTTTAACTTTGGTGTTTTTTATATACCATTTGTGTTTTAGAAAATATTTGAAGACGGACTCGAACACAGGTTCTTTTTGTGCAGGGACAAGAAATCAACCAACAGATCTATACTAATTTTGTGAAACATTTCTATAGATTTTATTATAGTCAGATTGTGTCATCACTTAAAATATTTGCTGGGTCCGCCTCTGCTTTTGCCATGTATTTAAGAAACTCATATGAGTTTGAGAATCTACCTGTATTGTGAGAGATAAAACTTTAAGGAATTATATCCTTGATTGTTTTGACAGACTAAAGACTTTTGGAGAGAAGCTCAGATCCTATCAAGACTTCACCATCCAAATGTGGTGGCATTATATGGAGTGGTACCAGATGGCCCTGGGGGAACACTATCCACTGTTACTGAATATATGGCTAATGGGTCACTTAGGCATGTTCTGTTGAGAAAAGATAGGTTAGTTTAGTTGATCAACTTATTATCCTCTTCCCTCATGACTCACTCAAAAGAAGATGGATATAAGGAAATATCTTGCAGATCACTTGATCGGCGAAAGAGGCTCATAATTATGCAAGACGCTGCAATTGGCATGGAGTACCTGCATTTGAAAAACATTGTTCATTTTGATTTAAAATGTGAAAACTTGCTCGTCAATTTGGGAGATCCTCAGCGACCCGTATGCAAGGTAATTAGAACCAAAATCTATCAGCTAACTTTGGATATATACATGCAGAGGGAAGTTCTCTTAGGAACCCAAAATTGATTAGGAACCCAGGACGGCCTACTGTGTGCCACGTGTTCCTCTGCAGGATGAATACCATTAATGATGAATACCATCATGAATAACACATTAATGATGAATATGGAAGTGTTATTAATCACGAATCACACATTCATGATGAATAACACATCCATATTCCTGATGAATATACCACGTGTCACGTTGTGGGCCGTTCCCGGGTTCCTAGTCAATTTTAGGTTCCTAATGGAACCTGTCCCTATGAATGCTATTGTTATATAAACATCTAAACCCTACTAGCTTAGGACAAAAAGGCATGTTATTATACACATTTGCTCTCTGGTTCTAATAGGGTGTCACTGGGATCTGGATTTCAGGTTGGTGACTTTGGTTTATCAAGAATTAAACGCAACACATTTGTTTCGGGTGGTGTACGGGGAACACTTCCTTGGATGGCTCCAGAGCTTCTGAGCGGTAGCAGTACTCGGGTTTCTGAGAAAGTAAGGCCTAAATTCCGCGCATCTAATTCTGGAGAGTTTCCCATGACCGAAACGGTTATATCTATCTGCATTATTGTTGTTTCTCTTTTATACCCATTTTTGTTATTTCTATCTTGATTGTGGATGTACCAGGTTGATGTATTCTCATTTGGTATTTCAATGTGGGAAATTTTGACCGGGGAGGAGCCTTATGCAGACATGCATTGTGGTGCCATCATTGGTAAGCTCTCATGTTTCTGAACCATATCTCAGTTAACCATCTGGATTTACCAACATCAGGACTTGTTATACCTTGGCTTTCTTTTTCTTTTTTTTGGAAATGGGTGATCCCAAGCTTGGCTCAGACTAATCCGAGGGTGGACCCACATGGAATGATATGGTGGCAGTGCATCATGGTTTCTTCGTAAGGGGGGAAAATTACGTTTATGAAGGGTGCCATCATATAGCTTTTAAAATTGAAATGTTGGCACAAGACATTAATAACTAAGATGGTAAATGCTCCTGCCTTTGTACAAAAGGCCATGAGTCCAACAATCGTCAAATTTGTTAATTTTTAGCTTAAATTTTAGTGTTCTTTAACATATACCTCTTGTGTTTTTTAAAAATATATGTAGATCGGACTCGAACATGGATCTCTTCTATTTAATGACAAGGAACCAACTAATAGATCTATACTAATATTGTGAAGAAAAAAAATTGGTCAAATTGTACCACCATTTGAAAAGAAGTTTGGGTCCTCCTCTGTACTAATCTCAGGGCAAATCCGAACTGCAGGCTTGCCCTATAACCCTGAGATAGATCTCCATGTGGCCACAAGCGCATATGTAGATGACAGGATTCAAACCCGGGTTGATTTTATCATCCCTTTGTATTTATCTATCATGCTACCACCCTTTGTGGTTTCTTTCATAAAAAAAACAAGGAACTGGTTTCCTTGTCAATTTCTTTTAAACCGTTGGGTCAACTTACACTCACTTCGACTAATTCCCATAAGCCCTAAAGTTAACACTCGGACAAACGCTCACATGGCCCTGAAGTTATCAATTGTTTTATTGTTGGTCTACTATAAAAACTCGCATAGCATAAAACCTGTTGATGGGCATTCTGGTTTTCTGATGGTTCTTGCAAAATTTCATTGCAAACTAACAATCGGACTTGAGAAAAAAGCCAAAAAAAAATCGTTCCGTAACCATGTTTCTAACGGATTTTTGATGTTTATGAAGGTGGGATTATGAGCAATACACTGCGGCCACCGATCCCAGAACGTTGTGATCGCAGATTGAAGGCGTTGATGGAAGAGTGCTGGTCGTATGATCCAGCAGCCAGGCCTTCGTTCACCGAGATAACAAACAAGTTCCAGGTTATGTCAAAGAAACAAAATCAGGCAAAAAGATGAGATGTAAATTAAAATAGATAGAAACAACAGCAACAGCAACAAAGGGTGTGTCATTGCTAGTGTTTTATAGCACTCAAAGTTTTGTAGCTCAAATGTGTTATATATATATATATGTAAAGTATATATGTATATGTGTGTGTATATATATATATATATATATCATTCTAAGAAATTTTATATATGGTAGAGAACTACAACTGGTTTTGCTTCAATCTGAAATTTCAAAATTTCAAAACTTAATTGGGAAGGTTGTAACGAGAATTGTAAATATTTTGAGAATTTGAGAACCGATTATATTATGAATCATTCATGGTGAATGACTTAAAAGTGTCCATGCATTTGCATGATATTCATCATGAATAATTCAAAAATAGTTAACCACAAGGGTGGTGACTGATTTGTTTGAGCTTAGCTCCAAAGGTCAAAAGCACCAAGAGGTCCCATGTTCAAATCCAAGGAGGAATAAAAATCCCCTTGTGGCCACGGCACGGAGGTTTAAATGCTATGACTCCGGGCTATCTGCAAAACAGGTGGTCGCCGTGGGAGTAGTCGGCTCGCATAGCGGGTTGGATATCTAGGTTAACAGAAAAATAATAATTCAAGAATAGTTAGTTCCTAAATTCTCAAAATACTTACGGTTCTAATTTGAGTCTCCCCCTAGAAGAGTAAATTAATAAGCATGTGATTCATTTTGACACGAGCCAAACTGAATCACTCCCGTTTTGTTCGATTTTCACGAATGTTTTAATCATTATAGAGCAAACTGTGAAACACTCGATATACCACATTCCCATTGGATATAAAAGCCTCAACAACATGAGGTCGACTACATAATACAAGGTTTGATGCAACTCTTATTGTAACGATCTCCAACAGGAAGCTAAAATGTGTACGAAAGTTGTGTGTGTGTGTGTGTGCGTTTTGTTGTTTGTTCACCTATATGATTCTGGCCGCTTCTGTTTGCTTTGGACAACGGCATCAATCTTCTCCATCACATCAGGTGTTAGCTTTGGAATGACTTTGATGGCCTTCATGTTCTCTTGAATCTGGCAACCCAAAAGACGATTATTTACACAATCGAAGAAAAAACTCGATGCAAAAACTGACGGTCGTTGGCTCAACCGTATCCGGGTTATTGGTAGAGCCCAGAGTTCAAAGCGTGAGTATTTGCTGCATATAAATATTACTTTCTTCCGTACCAAGATAGTCCACAATGAAAAAGAGACACGGTTTTAGATATGTGTAATTATTACATCTTTACCCTTACTAATAGAGGGAGTAATGAATTTATCTATCTCATAAGTAAGGGTAGAATTGGAAAGTATGAAAAAGAAGAAAGAGAAGGTGATGAATGTGACCTGATACTCCTTTGTAGCACCAGTAATAACTGATGAAACATTAGGGTTTGCAGCACACCAAGCAATTGCAAGCTGAGATAAGGGGATGTTTAGTTCATCTGCAATTGGTTTTAGGTTCTTAACTTTCTTCAGCACATCTTCAATCAATGATCTGCTTGCCAGATTCTGCAATCACTCCCCCAATCAACAACTGCCACATAGACGACGCTAATATCCAACAAATTCTTCAAAATGGAGATTTTGAGCGTGATTCAACAGATTCTTCAAAACCTTTCTCCATTTAAAATGAAGAAATGCAAGAGAGGGTGTGAAAATTTTCAAATTTGGAGAACTCCCGAAAAATGCTTGCCATGAGGGGAAAAAAAAAAATATATATATATATAGAGAGAGCTTGGTTCAAATACTAACCAATTTTTTTGTGTTAACTATGTTAACCAAGCTCAACCAATCATATTCCATCTTTTCTTTTGGTTCAAATGTAACTCATATATTAAATACAAGGGTATTTAAGTAATTTGTCATTTATGTAACTCCCAAATAATTAATTGGGAGTTACAAATTTGAAAATATCACAATTGATCATGATGCAATATTGATATTGGGGTTTCACACGTGTTCATGTTCTATAATTCACATTTATTTTAATCGACAGTTCTCACCTTTGACAAGTTCACGAGAACGCCAACTATTTAAAAAAACAAGAAAAAGGTCGTTAATATACAAAACCATATATGATTCACGTACAAAATCATACATGATTCTCACACACACACACACACTCTTATATATATATATATATATATTCACATACAAAACCATACGGGTTCAAAAGTCATCAACTTCCATTTTTTTTTTATGTTAATGTAAAATCACATGTGATGTTGCACATTAACGACCTTTTTCTTGTTTCCTTAAATAGTTAGCGTTCTTGTTTGAACCTTCCCCTCTCTCTCTCTCTCTCTCTCTCTATATATATATATATATATAGGGGCTCATTCAAGGGAGAACTGATTAGTTTGTGGTAATTGTGAGATCCAATCTCAACCACAAATCAACGGATAAATTAGGAAATTAATAATTATGGTAGTTTGAGTTAAAATTATAATTAGAGGGCATTTTAGGTATTTTTAAAAAACTCTTCTCTCCTCTCTTCGACCTCCAATCTCCGGCCTCCGGTGAACATTAATCCGGCAGGTACCAAGTAATCACAAAGATACATAATGTGATACCCATTGTGATATACTGTGATACCATTGCGATACCAACTATGATACCAACTCAAACCTTAAAAACAAAGATACACAATGTGTACCCATTGTAATATACTGTGATACCAATTTCACCGGAGCCCGGAGATTGGAGGTCGGAGAGAGGAGTTTTTAAAAAATACCTAATATGCCCTCTAATTATACTTTTAACTCAAATTACCATAATTATTAATTTCCTAATTTATCCGTTGATTTGTGGTTGAGATTGGACCTCATAGTTACCACAAACTAATCAGTTCTCATTTGATTAGGCCCCTATATATATCTATATATGGGTGAGTTCAAATAAAAACCACTTAATTTGTAAAAACCGTGAAAACCTCATTCAACCAATCATAATTTTTCATTTTGTTCCTTTTTTTATAATTATGAGAGGTTGATTAACCATTTTTATTGTGGAGGGTGTTAATCATGGATATTATCATCTTCATTATTTTAATTTTAGAGAAATACATGAAACAGTTTCATTAAAATTTCATTTAGTATATGAAATAATTTCATAACCACATATGAAACAACTTCATCAAAAAAAGTATTATATGAAACAATTTCACAAGATTAACAATTTCATGAAAATTTTTTATAAGATTAACGATGGATGAGAGTAGTTTTTACGGTTTTTACAAATTGGAGTGGTTTTCATTTGATCGTTCCTCTATATATATATATATATATATATATATATATATATATATCATATTAATAAGAAACTTTGAAATTAAATGTTTAGGAGAGAGAACGAATATTTTATTAAATGTATGAAATATTTTAATAATATAATCAATGTTGTAATCTTCAAAATGGAGAAGCAAATGAAGTTGAGTGAAATGTTTCCTAGAGATTTTGAATTGTGATTGTCCGCTTTGGAGAAATTTGGAGAATCTGTTGGAGATGCTATTAATATGCACAATGTGGAGTAAAATCCGGTCAGTGTTTTAAAAGGGGCGTCATATTATAGACACGTAAATATATGGATTTTGAAAAAGTTAGTTAAGTAAAGAGGTTGAAACCTTGTAGTTCTCCAAAGCAAATCGACTGTCGGATGGAACCCCTGAATTGTACTTTCCGGTCAGAACTCCAGACGCAAGCGGACTCCAAGTAGTAAGCCCGATGCCGTAGTTGCTATACAAAGGAAGATACTCGTTCTCAACCTGCACAACCGTTTTAAACTCAATCAACCATATTTCTTTATATTCAAAACAACAATACTTTTAGGTCTTCGGTTCGAGTCTCCTTAAAGCCCATTAGATTAGTCAAGGTGAGCGCAAGCTGGCCCACGGGCAAATGGCTTAAGGGGCTATGGGGAGCCTTGATTAGGGTTAAATATTACAATTAAGGCTAAATGTGATTATTATGAAACGATTACATTATGAGATATATAGTCACTACAACAACTTTACGTTTATAGGAAGCCTAAAATGTCTAAGCGTCATAATCAAATGTTTTATAGGACTTAAATTTATAGAACCAAGCAAAAAAATGTTCTATCTAAAAGTGTTACACGTTTACAGGGCGCTTTTGTGTAACATCTCAGGCAACCATATTAGATATTGTCTGCTTTGTCCACACCTGAACTCACGGTTCTAAAACGCGTTTGATAGAGAAGGTATTCCGGTATCTTATAAGACAACCTTAGTTCCCTTCTCCTACAAATGTGGGATCTTACATCTTGAATGTCTTAATAAGTTTCTAAGACACTTCTAAAATAAAGTGTCGTATTAGTTGCTTTATAGGACATTATTTGAAAAGTGTCATGTAAAATAGTTAATACGACACTTTATTTTAAAAGCATCCTAAAAATTTGTTGAAACACCGAAAATCGTCCTATAAATCTATTGTAACACTTTTAGATAGGACACTTTATAATTTGGTCCTATAAACTTAAGCACTAAAGTTGTACTTTCTAAAGAAAATAGAACAAGTACATTTGGAAACCAAAAAGTGTGTTATTCGTTTCGCCCCCTGGGTTACAAGACCCGTGTTCCACCCCTGTTGGCCCAAACACCCACAATTACAAAAAAGACTGATAACTTTTCACGATGCAGTCTTCACGTAAACAGTCGTTCTATCCTTTGGAGTTGAAACCACGTGTGCATACATCCTACTTCCTAATACCCTGCTTTCAAGTAGGATATACTGGATCGGTTTGGTTTCGTCTGGTTTAATTTAGTATCCATTCACAAATAATATGTGTCTAAGGTAACATCTCTATTCATTTATTGAAATTTTATTTTTCTTAGATTTATTGAAATTTTATTTTTCTTGTTTTTTAAGAGAAAAAGTAATTACTCAAAAGTTGGTATGGAAGGAGTGGTAGCATATATAGAGGCAGGATGTTTTTTATTAACCTGGATATCCAACCCGTTATGCGAGCCGACTAATCCCAGGGCAACCACCTGTTTTGCAGATAGTCCGGAGTCACCGCATTTGAACCTCCGTGGCCTCAAGGGGATTTTTATTTCTCTTTGAATTTGAACTTGGGACCTTCTAGTACTTTTGACCTTTGAAACCAAACTCAAACCAATCAGGCACTACCCTTATGGTTAGAGGCAGGACTTTTGATGATCAGAACACAAGTTATTGTGCTTGCAAAACAAAATTAGGGCATTCTTTATAATTTTCTTGAAAATAGAAAAATAAAAAGTTAAATTCTTCAAAAAGAAAAGGGCAAAATGCATAAAATAGCAATCTACTTTCATAAATTTCTTTATTATAGCATTGTA